ATTCAAATACTTATTCATATGGATCTGGCGATGTATAATTCACCAAGAATATGGCTATATATCGTTCTCTATATCAACACGCACGGACGTACGGTCGCCTTCGTGTGGAAACTAATTAATCCTACGGTGTGAGGAAGATGTCGTCGGGGACTGCCGAGGTCAAGATGGATTCCCTGTCATCGTTTCTCACTACGTTACAAATCAACATGACAGTCGGACGCGGCATCCAATATAGATATAAAATAGGATAAACTACCAGATCTCAAGATTTTTTATTCACTCGAGACACACATTTCGTGTGTAACAAGAGGTCAATCTTCGGATAATTTTATAACACAGATACATGTAGATAAACATAATAACAGTATATCAACACATGGAGAAATTCAAGCTTTGTAGTATGCATGGTTACATATGTGAAACTAAATACTTGAAAAATACGATACGGTAAATACCAGAGGATGCTGATATTTCATATTGTTGTTTATTTGTTTACGGTAAAAAGCAAAAAATGTGTTTATATTTAATATTGTTAACGTTAAATAGCAAATGATGTTTATAGTTCATGTCGTTTTGTTTACGTAAAATAGAAAAGGCTGTTAACATTTAACATTTTTATGATAAATAGCAAAGACTGTTAATAGCTAATGTTTTTTTGTTTACGGTAAAAAGCAAGAAATGTAAATATTTAATGTTGTTTTGATTACAGTAGATAGTAAGGAGTTCTGATGGTTTTGTTTTGTTTACAATAAATGATATTTCGCTCCTTCGTGTGATAGGGAAATGTAGTGCGTGTTAAAGCGACGTTGGTGGGGAACCTTTCGTGAAATACTGACAGACTAATAACAAAACACATAAAGTTACCTTGGGTAAGATCGTATGTTCTTTATCATACGGAATCAATATCACATTTTTATACCCGCGTGTAGCCACAACAATATTGGTGGAAGGTTCACCCTATATTCTGCTATACGGTATTAACGTGGTCCTGAGAGATTGGTCTCCTTTGTCTTATTGTAACAAATGTTTTGATAAAGATAACGCAGATATATAGTCATGGTATACTTACGTGTAAAATTGAAATATATATCATTTTAAAAATTCTTATCTACTATTTTGGGGGGATGCTTCATTTGATATTGGCAATCCGTACAAATTCATCCTTCAGCATCTCAGTAATTTAAAATTTGATTCAGGAAATTCATATCCTTCTACACTGACGTAAAGGTACATACTTGATAACGGTACATACTATACAAACAATACACAAAAGAGTCTTCAAAACAGACTACATTAGTGTCATGCACATTTATTTTGAGGAATATCATAGGTCCAGAATTGTGAAAAGATAGATGTGTATGGAAGGATGAATATCGATTGCTTTCTAATGCAAACACTTTCTCTCCACAAACTTCTTGTTCTAAGGTGTTTCTTTTGAACTAATAACCATCGACTAAATAACGAAATAGCACGACGGTGCTCGACGGTGCTTACAATGGATCAAAACATTGCATGTAAATAAAACAGTTTGAGCTGTTCGCCTTTTCCGATACAACCCGTGTAGTATTAATTACCTTCTACGTCAATACGTCGTACTGTGCGTTAAGAATCTATAGACGGAATATTGATTTAAATCGAGGGAATACTATTCCTGTTTTGTCTGGAGATTAAATGATATAGAGATGAAAATAGAGAAAAACAGCTGGAGTATTAACTCAAAATCTAGCTTGTTTCGAGCTTAATGTGTTAAGTTATAAATCACAATCTAGCAATGTGTCTCCTCAAGGCCCTCTTGCAGTTATATCCTATGTTTTGGTGATTCCGCCAGTTTATGTGACTGCCTTCATTTTTACTTTGAAATTTCCTCCGGTTCTATTGATATCTTTTCAATCTAATCAAACAGGACAGTGCTTTGTTGAGTAGTTCCATGCTGTCTATCAGGTGTGTGCCCTCGGTTCCTGTTGATGCTTTTCTTTTTTTGTTTTGGTGTCTCCTTGGGTCCTGTTTTGGTGTCTCCTTGGGTCCTGTTTTAAACTTACACTCTCGACACTACGTTCCGACTTTCCCTTTTGGTGTAGGCTTCACTAATAGTTTCTATCATTACAATGTACGTTTGTGAAAATCAGATATTTTTTGTGCTACGCCTAATGGGTGCAATTTGTTCTTTATTAGCTAAACGCCCTTAGGCGTATAGGAACATACATACATTCATATAACATTCTCTAAACATAGTTAGAATAGACAGGACAGTGACATTACAGTATACATAAAACACCGTTCAATAATGTGCATATAACAATACTTAATTAACACATTACAGTTATGGAACACCACAATACATAAACCTTAAATTAACGCCCCTTAAATGCTAAATATAAGTAACTGTATTAATTTAAAAATCGAGGGTTTTCTGTAAAAATATTGTTTGATTAATCTGTGCCTGAGATCGCTATAAAATGGACAAATCACAATAAAATGAAACTCGTCTTCTATATCTCTCAAATTACATTTGTTACAAATCCTGTTTCTGCGTGTGACGTTATGATGTCTTCCTATTGCACTGTTATGTGTGATATTCTCAAAATTATTCTCTCAAATAATTCACTTACGTGTGACATTATCTTAAATGTGTCATTGATCGTTGCCGTTATCGCAATATTTGCTACACAATTTGTGTTGATGTAACACGATTGAACGCGGTGTACCACAACTGTTAAGCTATATGCAAATGTAGTGATCGTGTCGCCAATAGAAATGTACCGGTATCTGTTTTGATAAGACGTGTGATGAATAAAACCCGCGTTGTCTCGTTTCAAACTTAATTTGGTGTCTGCCGTTGTTGGTTTTCAACCTTTTATTGTTTTTATCATCACGATTCTAATTTTAATGGGATAACCTTTCGAATCCGGATGCTTAGTGATTTATTTATCAGCTTCGCGACTTTCCAACACTAAAGGTCGTGCTATAACGGTAATGCTTATGGGAGACAAATGCCATTCTTATAAATTCAATTTTTATAAAACGTTTCACTCCCTGAAGTACGAGCGAAAACTTTTACGCATGTCATTGTTCCGGATTTCGTTAAGATAACGGTGTTATACTAAAAAATGTTTCTCTTACGACTTATATCGCAATGGTATTTGTGTATTGTTTGGCCAACAATGAAGATAAAACTCGCATGGAGCTTATTGTTGGACTCGTTTTATTTAACGTCTGCATATAAGTTTTCATTTTGAAATTATTCGATATATCGTACGATATTATTCGGAATATCGTACGATATTTTTCGGAGAATCGTACGATATTATAAGGAGTTTTGTACGATATTATTCCATGGTAGGTACATACAAAGAGGTTTTGAAAGGACTGCTTGACCAATCTCTCGAATAAACTTATTTTATTTTACAGAAATTATGAAAAAGTTATTTCAGCTTATGCTAGTCTTTTCTTAGAACGGGGGGTGGGGGTGGGTGGG